ATAAAATACATAATTAGAGTTAACTACATGGTTGATCACTTATGTTTGTGTTTTGTCCACTTTTCCTCACTGATTAAAAAAAACATAATATATAGTCATATTCCTTTTTATTTAATCAAGATGCAGTCATTACTAGTTAACTATAATTTTTTTGATATAATCACACATTTTGTCCCTGTTATTTTTATAGTCTCTCAATTTAGTCATACTTTTAATGAAATTAAAATAAATTTAATCTTCCAATAGAATGATACCAGATGTCACTGGTACCACATGCCGCAATTTGGTTGGAGGACTAGCTTTTTAAAATATTTGTGGAAAATAAATATATTAAATTAAAATAAAGTTAGTCATCCAACCAAATGGTGATACGTGGCACCAGTGACATATGGTATCATTCGATTGAATGATTAAATTTATTTTAATTTATTAAAAATATGAATAAATTGAGATAATATATAAATAACATGGACCAAATGTGTGATTATAACAAAATATCACTTCACGTTATATGTTAACTGTTAACGACAATTAACTAGTGATGACCACATCTTAACTAAATAAAAAAGAAAATGAAATATATTATGTTTTTTTTAAATGAGTAATTAAATAATAACATATAGGTATTGTACTTTGACATGTAATCCATGGGTCCCTATTGTCATCATATAATTCCTTCTTTAATTTAAAAAGTAAACAACGTATTTAATACCTAAATTATAAGTTTTTGTCTGCTTTAATACCTAAAATTTTAATTTTTTTTTAAATTCATACTTAACGTTTAGTTTACATTTCATTTTAGTATATCGCCATTAAAAACTTAACGCGTTTAGTACATAAACTATCAGTTTTGGTCTGTTTTAATACCCGAACTTTCAATTTTTTTTCAAAATTTAATGTTAAATTTTGAACGGGGATACTAATATGAAATAAAAGCTAAAGTTTTTAACGTATGAGTACTAAAATGAAACAAAAACTAAACTTTAGGTATAATTTTGAATAATTAAAAGTTTAGATACTAAAATGGATCAAAATCAATAGTTTGTATACTAAACACATAATTTAACCTAATCTAAAATTGGTAGGTATGTTGCAGCTAATAAATGATAGGTTAAAAGGCTTCTTTCTTGAGAGATCAAATTGGCAGATTAGTCTTCAACTCATTCAATTCTTTCATTATCATTTCAATATTTTCTGTCACATACTTTCTTCACAAGTTTATGGGTTGACATGTGACATTGATTAAAAAATATTTTAGATATTTAAATAAAAGAATTGTATATTTTAAGTATATATTTTGACTAAAAAATATTTTAAATATTTAAATAAAAAATAAGCTATACTTAAATACTTTGACTAAAAAAATATTTTAGATCTCTAAATAAAAAGCTAATATGTTTTAAGTAGGATGGACACTGAATTTTAGGGTCCGTTTGTTCCACTGAAAATATTTTAGAAAAATATTTTTCGTAAAATAAATAACATTTTCCGAAAAATGTTTTACGGTGTGTGGAAGAGGTTATGTAAACCATTTTCCACTAGTGATGAATTTTTTAGAATTTAACAAATATTAAATAAAATAAATAATATTTTTTATCATAAAAACTATAATATTATTTTTTTAAAATATTAATTAATTAATTAATTATTAAAATATTATTTCTATAGTTTTATTAATAAAAATATTAAGATTAGTACATTCTATTGAAATAAAAATATTATAAATTATATTAATTATTTATTAACATAATAATATTGTAGATTAATTAATATATTTTAAATGTTTTATTAAAATATTAAATACATAAATAATATTATTCATTATTAATAATTTAATAATATTATTTCTATAAAATTAATAGATAATATAAATTATATTAATATTTTATTATATTATCAAAATAAAATATAATATCTTATATTATTATAATATAATTGAATATATTATTATAATATTAAAAAATGTTATATTATTATAAATATTATAAATATTTTAATAATTAATATTTTGATTAAAATGATATGTAAACATTATATTAATATTAAATTCATAAAATAAAATTATTTGAAGTATTTATTCTTTGAAGTGAAAAGTTCGGAAAATGACTTATAGAAAATCAGACCGTAAGTCATTTTTCAAAAAATGTAAAGGAAATTCTGTTGACCAAGAAAATGTTTTACGTTGACCAACCAATTTTCCTCCAACCAAACATTAGAAAATGAGGAAAACGTTTTCCAGAAAAGATTTTACGTGAAACAAACATACCCTTATATATATTTTAAATATTTTGTTTAAAATCTAAATTAATATTTAATATCTATAATAATAATTAGATCAATGAAAAAAATTATTGATACTATATAATAATTTAAAAATTCAATTACAATATTTTTGGAGATAAATTAATGTTATGAATCATAATATATATATATATATATATATATATATATATATATATATATATATATATATATATGGGTTAAGATCCACTTACACTATATAAAACTAGTAAATTTTACATTAATTTATAACCATTAGATTTAAGGGTAAATAACACAAATGGTCCCCCAACTATAGGATATTACTTTATTAAGTCACTCGACTACTAAAAGTTACAAAATGGTCAATCGACTATTTATTATATTTCAAACTAGTCCTTTTTTTGTTAAAAATGGACAGTTGTTTAAGCTAGACGTCAATATAATGACTGGAATATGATAGTCGTTTGAGATTTTGGGATCAAATTTATCATATCACAACCAACAAGTTAGCGTTCAACTCAAAATATCGTCCATTTTTTATCGGAAAAGGACGAGTTTGTAACATAATGAATAGTCAGGTGACCATTTTGTAACTTTTAATAGTCGAGGGACTCAACAAAACAACACTCCATAGTTGAATGATCATTTTGTAACTTTTAATAGTCGAGAGACTTAATAAAGTAATATTATATAGTCAGGGGAGCATTTACGTTCTTTACCCTAGATTCAAATATATAAATAACTTAAATTTAAGTAAAATTTATAAACCATAAATAAATATTTCTTTAACTCACAATAAAATAATATATTTGTTCTTTTTAGATTTAAGGTTTTTGGTTTATGATTTGAGGTTGAGGGCTTAGGATTTGGAATTTTGGGGTTTGAGATTTGAGATTAAGGTAAAAAAACATATATTAATTTAATGTGTGTTAAAAGATATTTATTTATGACTTAATTTTAATTAAATCTAAATCATTTTTTATTTAAATCTAATGACTATAAATTAATATAAAATTTATTAATTTTAAATAGTGTAGGTGGATCATATATATATATTAATGGATGGATAGTTGAAAACGAGGATTGGAATTTATTCGAAATCCAAATTTATCGAGTTATTTTAAAAAAAAATGGATTCAAGTTTGGTTAGGTCGATTTTTTTTTAAGAATATGAGTTTAGGATGAAAATTTTTAATTAGAGATAATATTATAGTTATATCTTTATGTTTTTAAAAGTAATTGTAATAATATTTGTCTCTATATTATTTTTAAAATTAGATTATTATTTTATCTAATATATATATATATTTAAGTTAAATCGAATCAAATAAAAATTTTATTCGTAAAATTTAAATCAAATTTTAAATGGAATAGAATTCTTCTAAACTCTAACCACATTATATATGGAAAAAAAATTAATTGAATTTGGATGGATTAAAAATCCCACCTAATTCGACCCATAACCATCATAATTGAAAAGATTAGAAGTGTTTCACTTCACTTGCATACAAAGTCTATCAATTATAAAATTCCAAATCTCATCCACGTCGGCTTAGGCAAAGACATTCACACACAAAAATGTAATGAGAACCAAAGCTAAAAACCCATCAATAAGCGAACAAAACAAGGAAGCTTGCTGAATGATTTCCTTCGTTTTTTAGTTTTTAAATCTCTTCCCATAAACCATCTCCAAAATCCCACCTTTAGCATCCTCAAAGGTATGTTTCTTTTGTTGTTTTATATTGTTTAGATGGGTTGATTCTGAAAGTGGGGTTTTTTTATATACTTTTTCATGGCCAAATGCTTTGTTGATTTTTTTTTCCTTCTAAAGTCTGGGTTTTTGGTGTTTTCTTATGAATCTTTTGTCTATGTGGTTTGTTTGATTTGTTCACATTGTTGTTCTTGTATGATAGGGTTTATTATTCTAGCTTTTTCTTAAGTTGAAAAGCTATGAATTTGGAATTTATTTCTTTCACTATGTGTATATATAGTCAAGATTGTTAAAAAAAATGTACTATTTTGAAACTCTATTTGTCTTGAACAAGACGATATTCTTTAGGTTTTTGCTCTGCTTGAGGACAAATTCATGGGAAAGTTTTGAGGAATCTGGTGGAGTTTTGTTGTGTTCTTCAGACCGAGAATTTGAGTGAAATTGGGGACTTGTTTTAGATGTCATTGTTTGTTTTTCATGTAGACAAATCAAGATCTTGATTAGTTTTAATGGACGTGCTATCCTTCTAGACTTTCTCAAAAAAATTTGCACATGCGTAAATATTCTTCGATGAATTCCATATTTTCGGTTTATGCTCTTGTTTCATGTCCATAAGGATATGATTATGTTGGATTGAACCGAATAAGCACCAGGGGAAGAGGGTCGTTGATATAGAACCGAGCTATGATTTTTGATAAATGCGTGTTAATTTCCAAAGATGTTTTAGAATCCGAGCTATATGAAAAGTTAAAATCAAGATGAAAAATCTTGTGATAAGGTGTTAGATGTATATGTGAAGCAAAAACAGATTGTGGTGCGATATATGGTTATGCATTCTATAGCATGTAATATTACCAAGCTCAGTCGATGGAGTCATATTGTTGTAAACCGTCAATATTCGGACTGAAAATATCTTCTTTTTCCTTTCTATTTGATGTCAATATTTGATGTTCTTGTTTATTCATGGCAGTGGACTTGAAGCCCCACCAACTTCTTTGGATAAATTTAACTTTTGAGGGAACGTAAGAGGAGCACTGTTGGTGAGTATTTCATTGTTTTGGCAAGTGTTGGTGAGTATTTCAATTTTATGAAAAGGGAATGGTCGTTTGGTTCGGAGATGATGGAGTTCAATACTGGATATTCCCGTTCGAATGAGAAACATCCATCGGATTGTCGAAAATCCGCTGATAAAGGGGAAAGGCCTGTGGAAAAAGATGCAAGTGCTTCTGCATTTGTAAATCATGGTTAGTACTCTTGCTTTAGATGGGTTATAGTGTTTGATTATCGGTATTTTCCCAGTTTTTGCATTGACATTAAGAAATTTCTCAAAGATTATCAATGCCACCATGTCTTCCATTTTAGCTGTAAGATAAGACATGACTTTACATGGTTTTGTACAAGACTTTCCCACTCATTCTCTTGATGTACCCTCCATTTGGACTAACATGTCGAACACGAGTACATATCCAGCACGTATATGCTCTATTTTTTTTAAAATCGCTATGTATTTAGAGGGTCAAAAAGAGTTACCATTCAAAAAGAAATGCAGAATTAGAACTATTTTTTTTGTTTCAACGGAGCTTATATTCATGTTTAGACTTTTGAGCATGTAGTTATAATCAAATTGAATCTATCATGTAGCTGCAATCGCTTGGCACGAGAACAGAAAAAGGTGGACTGGGGATAAATCGCAACAATCACAAAAGATTAGCAAGGATCAAGTTATAAGGTATAGCGTTTGCTACTTCCGTTTGTGCAATGGCTGTTTGGTATCGCTCTACTGTATACTATTACGGTTGTGGGGAGATAGAATTAGACACAATATATGCATTCGGGAACAGCCTAGTTGAAATCCGTGTAACCCACACTTGGTGGTGAGTGTTTGACATATACATGTCTAGGAAAAGTACGCTCTTTCGATTTTTTTTTCTTCTGAATTTTCCATTTTTTTGGAGGATCATATCCGCATATTTGCATTTGATGATCTCGATTTCTTTAAACGAGAAATGTAACAAAATTGCATTTGATGGAAAATGGCAAGGGAGAACCAAAATGTTGGTGCTAATAAACATCTGGCTTGCCATCTTTTTCGTCTTCAAGATGTGCGGTTAAAAAGTCTGAGCTGAAGTTGCTATTCCGGTCTGGCCTACGTGGTATAAATCTGGGTTCGCTGAAACAAATCAATGCTTTTCATGTTTTCTATTAAGTGACTGTTCAAACTTCATTGCGAATGAAACTTTTGCAAACCCTGCGAACTACTAGCAACGAGAGATGATGCCTCCTATGGTGGCGCATGTTGTTTATTGTGTGCCATATTTTTCGGAAGGTGACCGGTAACCGATCCGATTTTCTGTCTGAAAAAGGGCTATTGATGGTGTTTATATTTACTCATTCTCAAACTCCATATACGTTGCAGCATAGAAATTAGAAATAGCTGTTATTGTGAGCAACATTTACGAATAAACAAAGAATATCTCCTCCCTTGCTTGATGTGTAAATTTTACTAGTTTAAAATTTCCGTATAGTTGCTCGAATACGTTGGATTATAACTGCGAATACTTTATGTTGCAGCTGGTCCACAACATACGAAGAGCTTCTCTTAACTAACGAGCCATTTTCCCAGCCAATTCCTTTACCGGTAAGTTTCCCGAACTGGACATCAAGAACAAGTAGTTGTCTTTATCGAATCAATCATCAAAGAATACATTAAAATGCTTAGTGGTCGTTTACGATTCTACTCCCTTGTCTTAGTTCCTTATTTTATACGAAAAGATAGAAAGGGTTCGATCCAGCTGCCTCTACTGCAGCCATAGGAATATTATCAGTCCATCACAAACACCATTGACAACTATTAACTGCAATGTATCTGATTGTGCAGGAAATGGTAGATTTTCTCGTTGATATTTGGCACGATGATGAGCTATTCGATTAGATGTCTGATGATGGACGATGATGAAGTATCGACATGGGAGACTGTTAGATGATTAGAGGAGTTCTTCTGTAATATTTTTTTGGGCATGGAAAACCTTTTTTTAGTTCGATTAAATGAATTTTAAAAACTTTTTTATTATTTATAAATATGATAAAATTAATTATTAATTTCAATTTGTGTCGGCACAGTGCTAAAAAGTCAACAAAACTGCATTAAAAATGAAGGATAAATTACATTTTTTTGTACCCAAACTATCATTTTTGATTAGTTTTAATATTTAAATTTCATTTTTTTTCAAAACCATACCTAAAGTTTAATTTTTGTTTCATTTTAGTTTCATGTTCAAAATTTAATATTAAGTTTTGAAAAAAAATGAAAGTTTAAGTACTAAAATGAATCAAAACTGATATTTTATGTACTAAACATGTTAAGCTTTTAATATAGGTATGGTTTTGAAAATATTAAAAGTTTAGGTATTAAAACGGATCAAAACTAATAGTTTAGATATTAGATTTATAGTTTACTAAAAAATAAGGGTAAAGGCGGAAAGAAATCTAACGCGGTTCGTAGAAACGACGTCGTGTTGCTGAGTGGAAACTGTATCAATCTCGTATTTATTTTCCCGGAAAATATTAAAAGAAAAGAGAAAAGTAAAAGATCCCGATTCCGAAACCAAACACGGGAATGGAAAATTAAAAGGACAAAATAACAAAACGAAAAACAAAGCTTTGATTCTAAGCCATTTTCCTTCCTCCATCATAGAGAAAAAAAAAACTAAACACCCAAGCTTTCCCAGCAAAAATTTCTCATCTTTTTTGAAAAAAAAGCGACTAATTTAGGATCAAAAGATGGATAAATTCAAGAATATGTTGAAACCGAAGCCGAATCCACAACAATTACTAAGAGATTGGCAAAGAAAACTTCGTCAAGAGTGCCGTAACATTGAACGCCAAATCAGAGGCATGATATTTTCATTTTCCACCCTTAATTGTTTGTCAAAATTTCGATGGTTAGTTTTTGCTTGTAATTTTGGGTTTTCAGTTAACGGGTATTTGAGATTTAAGGTTTGAAATAATGGGTTTTTTTGTGGTATTGTTCTGAGTTTTATGAAAAGAAAATTGATGAGATTTTTATTTGGTTTTTGTTTTTAGATATTCAGAGAGAGGAGAAAGGTGTACAGAAAGCAATCAAAGAAGCTGCTAGGAGAAATGACATGGGTTCTGCTAAGGTAAAATTTCTTTTATTTTTCCCTTTAATGGAACTTTAGCTAAATAGATTCACCATGTCATAGTTGTTGAAGAATTCAACTTTCGTTTTTATTTCTTATTTGGAATGGTGTGGTCGAACTTAATAAAAATTTTAGGGACAAACATATAAAATTTTAGGGGGTATCAATAGAAAATGCAAAGAAAATACTTAAATTATGTGAGAATTTGAAACTTTCAGAGTTCGATTGTCCCGCCGTCCCCTCTCGATCCATCCCTGATGTTGTCACCTTTAAGAGTGGCATTCAACAATAGGGACTCAAACCTCCATTTTGTAAAATTTAAGCCAACCTATTGGTTCATGTGGCCGCCCGTAAGCATGGCATCTTGTAAACTTAAGCACATTGTAAAGGACGTAGGTCCTAATATGGTTTTAGAGTAATTTTGTGCTTTAGATTGCTGAAGCTGATTGAAGTTGGTGGTTATTTAGACAAATGATTGATCATGCATGAAAAGGATGCTGCTCTATTATTGTAAATCTAGCTGATCTTCGGTATTCATTCGATAAGTTCTCTAGTAGATCTTAGGATCTGGAGTTATAACACTTCGCTAGTTCCTTGGCAAACTGAAAACAGAAAATAAGATGTTGGTTGTGCCTTACAGCCTTAGTGGGTGTGTTAAGTATGTGAAAATTTATCTTTTTCACCTTGTTACCGATGAGTCATTTCTTTTCAGGCACTTGCAAAAGAAATTGTAATGTCGAGAAAAACTGTGAACCGTCTATACGAGAATAAAGCTCAGCTCAATTCAATATCAATGCACCTTGGAGAAAGTGTTGGTATGACAACTTATGCATCTGAAATCTATACATTGTGATTATTCCAATTAATGTTATTATGTCCCTTTACTTTGAAAAAAAAAAGGAATTATTTTGAACATAGGTCGAGAGTACTTTTGGAACATGCTTGTTTCCGTGAACATATCGACTCTGTTGCTTGGACTCTTCATTTTTCTCAAAGTGTCCATGTTCAACACTTGTCTGGCACATGGATACAAGGATTTAACCTCCAAGGATCCTCCAAGTATATGGACGAACTTAGAAAAATTTAACCATACCTTTGTGGGATACATACCCGTGTCTGACACCACGACTGAGTCCAAGTAACATATCATATCAATACTAGTAGTAATTTACTGTAATCTGACATACCTAAACTAAACATGGATTTTTCTCTATAAGAACTGCTTTTCTTTCTAAATGTTCTCTTGCTGGAATGTGTTGAAGCTATTGCTCGAACCGTTGGCCATTTGTCAAAGAGTTCTGAAGTCATGAAACTTGTAAACAACCTCATGAAAGCTCCACAAATGGCTGCCACAATGCAAGAGTTTAGCAAAGAAATGACCAAGGTAAATTCCAAGCTCGTAATTTCGTTGCATTTATGCTCCAGTTTTTGTTTCATAATATTTATGATCTTCGTCGGCAATACTGTTTCAGCAGTTCCTAATGTGTGTTTTCTCGACATTAGAATTGACCATAACATACTAAGAACACTTAATATTTTACTATTGTTGTTTGGAATCGTTATGATGTTTCAAGATTGGTTCTTTATTGATGCTTTTCAGCCCAAAGTTGCACAGAAGTAAACTTGGTCAAGAAACTCATTGTAGGATATGTCCAAATCCAATTAAAGTCTCAACCCGATTAATGCAACTTTTGGAATTGGATTTTTCTGTCAGGGGTACGGAGAGATGTCGTTTTAAAGATCTTCCGAAAAGCTTAAAAAGGAAAAGAACATTCCCTGTTTTATATTCGAGTTTGATTAATATAGATTGTTGTTCGGAATCGTTATGCTGTTTCAAGATTGGTTCTTTATTGATGCTTTTCAGCCCAAAGTTGCACAGAAGTAAACTTGGTCAAGAAACTCATTGTAGGATATGTCCAAATCGAATTTAAGTCTCAACTCGATTAATGCAACTTTTGGAATTAGATTTTTCTGTCAGGGGTACAGAGAGATGTCGTTTTAAGGATCTTCCGAAAAGCTTAAAAAAGAAAAGAACATTCCCTGTTGTATATTCGAGTTTGAGTAATATAGATTGAAAGAATCGAACTGATCTACTACTTAGGAACATATTTTGAAAAGCATCTGCATGCTCCACATATCTTTTGAGTTTTGTATTTCTTGTTTCAAGATTAATGCCTCTATTCAACCATTTTCAGCTCACCTGTCAGGAATTGGTTTGTAGGCAGGGATTATCGAAGAAATAGTAAATGATTCCCTTGACTCGGCTTTGGATTCGGAAGATATTGAAGAAGAGACCGAAGAAGAAGTTGACAAGGTTCTTTCGGAAATAGCCGGTGAAACTGCAGCGCAGCTTCCTGAAGCTGTTCGGAAGGAAAGAGTGAGGGTACCTACCCAAAAAGAAAGCACTTCCCATGAGGTTTGGAAAATTTTTTAACCTCTCTCTTTCACTTGTCGTTGCAAAAAGCTCAAGGATCTAAATCACTAATGAATTTTACAGGAAGAAGCCATAGCAGAGGGTGCCGACGATGAGAAAGAGTTAGAAGAGATTAGGGCACGACTCACCCGAGTTCGATCGTAAAAGCATTTTATTTCCATCGTCTCCATTGAATGGTGGGTTCAAAACACAACAGATGAGCTTTTTATATATTCATTTTGATAGCTTAAATTGTTTAAAATCCTTTAGAAGAACATTATGCGGTTAAGCATGTTTGAATCCATGTCTTTCAAATTGCTATATTGTTATAACAGTGACGGTGTTAATCGAGTTAAAATTATAAGGAGTATTATTAGATTTTCGATGTAAGATTATTGTGTTTGGTTCAATATCACATTATAGGTAAGGTGCAGGATCTTATACAAGGTATAATCTCATAAGAACTTGTTTCTTAATCTGTGAAATTAAACTAAAACATCCAATTAATACAAGTTTAAAGGCATTTATATAAACACTTGAAAACATCTATAATTAACTAATGTGAAATATCATTATTTTGAAGTTCGTAATTATTTCTTCCAACAATATTATTTTGATTTTAATTCTTTTAAGTATTTCAGTTCCGAGATAAAATATCCTCTGATTAGATAAAAACCGTTACTTGATTAATGACAAGTCTTTTGTGTTCAAAATAATGGATTAATCATAATTTGACCGAATGTTTAACTCACGAAGAAAATTTGAGTTGTAATGATAATATTTTTTATTAATTTTAGATAATTATAATGTAATATATGTTCAAAATTTGAGTTGTAATGATAATATTTTTTTATTAATTTGAGATAATTATAATGTAATATATGTTCAAAATATTTTTAAATATTTGATAATAAACGTTCGTATATTCTTATAAATATTATGTTCGAATCTAAAATTTCTAAAAATAACATCCATTTAATTAACCACTAAAATGACTTTGTTGGTGCTACGATAACAGTTAACCCCAAGTAAAGCTAGTGTTGCTTGCAGTTAGAGAAATGGGTTGAAAATTGCAGCTTCTTTTCGCCTAACATACAACACTGATTGTAGTAACGTTTTTTTTTTTCAAAATGAAAACGAATTTTATTTTTAAAGGGTATGAAAAGTCATGTTTTGAAAATCGAATTGATTTAAAAAAAAGTTTGAATTCAGAAAAGATTAAGAGTTGTCATCAACCTTTGGATTAGGCAGGTCGAGTAGCTAAAAACGTCTTAAAAACAATTAATTTCTAGGGAACGAAAGTCGTTATGCATGGGGAACGATAAGCACCCCCCACATCGCCTTAAATTGGTACCTAATCTATCGTACTTTATCATGGTAATGGAAATTAAAAATACTAAAATAAAAAGTTATCTTGCGATTTATTTTATCACTCATCAATTAATTTATTTCGAACATTAAATAATATTTTTTATTTTGAGAAGAGATCACGAGATTTGCACGTCCTCCAATGGGAATATTATCTCATCTATCTCTTTCCTATACGACAATATTCCTTTTATTAATTATTTTGGGTCTCATGTTAGACATGGATAAAATAAAATTTAAAAATTAAAACAACATATAAAAAATAAACAAATACACGATTATTATTAAAATAATTATTATTTCATTTTATTCAAGCATGTTCGAGCATACTCGATTATTTTTAAGTTCGATTTCGTTTGAACGTCGTATTTGTAACCCCCTCATACTGATGCGGGTAACCCGATCCGATATGGAGTGTCACATTAGGGTCACCGGAACGGCCCACTGTAAAAATCTTGGAAAATTTAAAACTTTTGTCAAAACATGTAACTCATAAAATGATTTATCAGTATGCAGAAATAAAATAGATTTTCAGACTCAGATATAAAAAAAATACAATTACATGCACCCTAATCACATGTACCATACTCTGCAAACAACGCCGGAAGAACTCCCTTACTGAAGCCGATAGTTGCACTGGTACAATTCTTTTAACCTGCAATGGTGAGTAATAGTCGGAAAGCTCAGTAATACAGAACTACCATATGGTGCTGAAGAACGTGCATATACATATAAACATATATTTCCTTATTGGTTCAGATATCTACAGAATTTTAGACTGAGATGAGGTTCCACTGATATCTCAGGTAATAACAGACAATAAGTTTTCATATCAGAGGAAAATATTTCGGATGACTGGGTTCAAGAGATCAGAATATGTTATCTAGTGTGTTCCCGTAAACTAGTAAAAAGATACATATCTTTTAAAACATATTTTTTATTTTAAAATCAAAAATCCTAATAATCCCTCAAACCGCTACACATCATAATGTGTAGGTTCCCCAGAACCATACACCCAACCGCACAGCCAGTAAGGCCCTGAGCACAAAGTTGAGAAGCCTGCAGATATACTTCCTCCAACAATAATTCCCCAAATAAAATATTTTTCCGTTAATTAACAGAGATATTAGAAATCAAAACAAAATTCAGATAAGATATCAGAACATAATCCAGATCAGAAATCAAAACAGAATCCAGGTCAGGTATCATAACATAATTCAAATCGGAAATCAGATAAAACATTCTTGTGATTAGGGAACACACTAGTGTTTATAGATATTATTCAGAGATACTGGATAATCTTATCATGCAGAGACACAAGGATCTTCAGTGTACCGATAGAATGCCGGAAGATAGAATCACTATTGGAAGAGTTCATTAACTGACAGAATCATCAGTTATGCAGAATGTGATTTGAACTGATAAGGAAGAAACGAAGATTCAATCTATGTCGATTGATCGGATTATCGAACAACTTCCAGAACTTATGCTTGTCGACTGGTCAATTCATTGTCTTTCAAGGGTATTTACTCTTTAATACCAAAAATTATTGTCAATAGATCATCTTCGGAATCATAATTGAATAGATCTTCCAATGGTCTTTATTTTATTTCCACACTTCCACGATATCATGAAATGCCGACGTACTTGATTTATGGTTCATAACCCATAGGGATGATACATCATGTAAGTTCATTCGAGTTTCCAGACTTATCCCAATCACTTACTTAATCCTCAGTCCTTGAGGTTATTTAGTTCGTCTAGTAATCAAGTCTATCCTGGTTACTCCAGAGTTTTTCAGAGTAATTCGGACGTTTCTGAATTCCGGATACATATTGTACTTCCGTTCAGATCAATTTGGTCTTCATGGTTGATTTGTCTAGCGAATATCCACTTCTTAGTACATAATGCGATCTAGAATTGAGCTGAATACTTCCAAAATTATCATCGAGCCAAACTTGAGAAGACGAACACGCATTCAAGTAATATCTATGTCGTTCAGGTACTGACATATCATTAAGGTTGATCGGCTCACTTAAGTTGTGTTCCATAACTTTTAAGGGTAGTACAACACCCATATTTACTTGGATTCCTTAATTAATCCAAAACATCTACTTAGTCTAGGCCATAAGGGTATTTTAGTTATTTTGGTACTCAATGTTATTCTAGTCATTTTAGAGCTTACGGATATCCAATCATTCCTGGGCTTGGTGATATTCTTGGGTCATTTCCATTACATGGGTATTTTAGTCATTTTATAGATTCAGGGTATTTAAATTCTTTCCTTCAGTCTGACCTTATTATTTAATTTAAACTTAACATATATTCCAATCCTTTCAAATAATCCTTATAAAGGAGCACCCTCAATAATTTATTCTTCAAGTATATACTCTTAACTCGGAGATTTTCAAGTCAACTGCCTTCTCAGATGTTACAAACAGGTTATCAGGATTTTTCTGTACAAAGACATGATTTTAACAATTAAATCTGTAATTTATCGGGTTAAGTACGAATTCTCAAAGTACTTTCTCGTCCATGGTCAACGCGAACTATTTTTACCTCTCAAGGGCATTTTTATAATTTTCTAACCTGATAATTTCAGTATTAAAACTCTTAACAATGATAGTTATAATTTAGAGATTATAGGGTTAATCGCTTTCTCATATAATCTCTAAACTTTAAATTATTCCTTAACAAAACTTCTTGTATCTTGAACAAGCCATCTTGGATTTAGAAATCGGTTATTCAGATTTCCTAAGCAAAACCAGTATTTTCTGTACACATCAGTAGTTTTATCATATCAATATGTCTTTAAAAATTCTTATCCAACTTCCAGAGTCAATTTTTGTCCTTATTATAACATAAGAGTATTTTCGTAATTTTACCTAATCGAAGTATTCTCATAATTTATCATCCAAATACCTTTAATGAGATAAATTATAATTTATATATTCAGGACTGATTCCCTTATCACTTAATCACAGGACTTGTAGTTCAATAGAATCTTAACTAATTTATCACTTAAACCGTATTCGGTTCGAATCCATCCATAATCAAACAGGCATAATAGACCAATCATATACATTCATGCATTTATCCATTATTAACATGTTTCATAAAGCATAAAGAGGTAGTAATGTATTACCTCAATTTTCGTGTCATATTGATCTACCATTTAAACTCCACTCGAACGTCCTCGATCTTGAAATCAACTTCCAATAATTCCTTGTATACATATCAACAGAAATTTCATTAAAAACGAAGCTTAATTACGAAAAACGGATCGAATTGGGTGGTTAATCAGTCAAAAAAGCTTATCGGGTTTGAATTTGAAAAAACAGGCTTCAGATTCAGATTCAGGACGTCGAAAAACATAAAATATGACTTTTTCGAAAATTTTGACTTTTTGGTCAAAGTCAAAGGTTTGATTGACCATTTCGAGGCTTTCGAGTTCTAATTTGGAAAAACAGACTTCGGAATCGGACTCAAGACGTTAACAAATTTAAAATATGACTCTTCGAAAAATTTGACTTTTTGGTTTAAGTCAATGGTCGGTCAACGGTCAACGGGTCGATCCTGGTCAATGGGTCGGGTCGGTCAAACGGGTCGGGTCAAAACTGGGTCAAACTGTCCCGACAGTTTCCGAATCTCCCCCACGCTCAGGGGCAGCGCTTGGGGGCGCATAAACAGTGATATGGTTTCCGAAAAATCCCCGAAAATTTTCTAAAAATATTTTAAGCGATTTTAAGACACTTACCAAGCTTTGTTCAAAATTTTAAACGATGGAGAGCTCGATTCTGAAACTTCAAAAACTTTAACTTCCTCACCTCTCCACGCGCCGGCGCTGGCGACGACGGAGACGCGAAGGACACCGGTGGAGTCGAAATAACACAAGGAACATGATGGTCTGGGAGGTGTCGAAAATGGGTGGCCGGATCGACATGAATCAACGGAAAACCAACGGAGATTGAGTTAAAACCGACGATACTTCCGATTGAGATTTACGACGAACGACACCGATT